AATGGAAAATTGATTTTGTTTACTTGTCATTTAGATCTTCATTTAAATCACTTGTCATTTAGATCTTCATTCGTTTTATTCCTGACGCTTCGCGTCGACCGCCGCCCACACCGTTTTTTTTCTTCGGTCGCCTGGGGAAAGACTGCTGGAGTGGACGGGGGAGGTCGGGAGTGGTGTCCAAAGAGATGGCTTGTTTGCCGCAGCATTTTGGTAGAGCAGAGGGTGTAGAGGACACAGTGTGGAGGCAGCGCCAGTGCGTTCCAACTTCTTAATTCACATTACGTCGAAAAATTTTGCACATGACAGTATTTCTATGGCCATGTTGCGGCTGAGTTACGCACAAGTTCGCTCGTTTGGTGGCCATGTTAGCCAATTCAGGCTCCAAGTTCGACCGTTTTGTGGCCTTGCCCCCGCTTGGTTAGTCCACATTACATCATGTCAAGGCTAGCTTGATCGTTTGGTGACCATGTGTTGAGGCTACGTTGGGTTTTTTGCAATAATGCTGGTTATGCGTTGCTGGTCAGGAGGGTTTTTAAGCATCGTGGGTGCCCGTTTTTTGGGTTGTTTGGGTTGTTGCAGAAACGTCGCAACGAAGCAAACAAAATAATCCAAAAATGTACCTCCAAAACGTTATCCCCCATGGCCCTCGAGGCGTAAGACGTTTTCCCCCGAAAAAAAAGGCACCCCCCTAGCAGAGCTATGAACTGATTACGATGTGATGATGACGATGATTCCAGCTTGACTCGCCCCTAACACGTCCTGCACCGGAAGCGGTGTGGGCGGATTTTCATTTGCATCATGTTAACCCTTCCAGAATTGGCTGGCTTTGCTGTCGCTTCCCATGGGTTTCCAAAATCACTTCGGTCACAGTCAGCGCCCCAAACTATAGATGCGTGAAGGGATTGCCTCACCCATCCCTTCCCGAGCAATCGAAGCCAAGGGTCAAAATCATTGATCTAAACCACTGAAGCCCAAAAGCCTGAGCCTAGTGGCCTAGAAATTTGTGTCGTACAGAGATGGGAGGTAAAACAGGTTAGTGAGGAGACGCCCTCGCCCTAGCACTGATTGAAAACTAAAATGACATATGAAACTGTCAGAAACAAGCAGTCATGACCCAAATTAAAACCAAAATGACAGATGAAAACATGATGAACCAAATTAAGACCAAAATGACACATGCAAAAACGATGCACCAAAATGCCACACGAAAAACGGATAAAACAACGAAAAAACACTTAAAAAGACGAAGCCATGAAAAGCGATGAAAAGTCGTGTAGTTCGCTCTAAAACTATTTCATGTTTTTCACTGTTTTTGCCTTTTGGCTAGTTTCGGCCACAAAGCAAAGAAAAAACAAACAAAAAACGAACAAACGTAAAAACATGAAAACTGCGTTCGCTCGAAAAATGCAATTTTCATCGAGTCTTTTTCGTGCATTTTTCGCTTTGGCTAGTTTCAGCAACAAAGCAACGAAAAAACAAATGACAAATGCACAAAATTAACACCAATGAAAATTGTTTTGTTTTCTCGCAAGTTGTGATTTTCCTCGAGTTCTTTTTTTCATTTTCGTTTTGGCTAGTTTCCGCCAGACATCAACGATAGTCACGTCCATTTCACAAAAGCTAAAGCAGAATAGAAGGAAATGCGAAACCGACTAGCCTAGCAAAAAGGGTTCAGGACTAGCTGACTTGGCCGCCTTTCCTTCAGGGGAGGCAATCGCAATTGAGCTCCAGCATCCTGTTGTCTTTCATGATCGTTTTAGCTAGTTTCGGCAACAATTTGGCAACATTGTATTTTAATGTGTTCATTTTGCTTTAAGTTCAGTTCAGATAGTTTCGGTAACGCATGAATGACAGTCAAGTACATTTCACACCAGCTAAACCAACATAGAAGGAAACGACTAGCCGACTAGGGTAGCAAAGAGGGTTCAGGAGTAGGTGACTTGGCAGCCTTCGCCTCAGGGGACGCAAGCGATAAACACAGTCACGCATGACAACAAAAAAGGTGGGCGTGTAAAAAATGATGCAAACGAAAACACACATGTACATGAAAAAGACCAAGATGGGCATGAAACAGTGATGATGAAAACGAAAGCAACATGAAAAAACACATGTTTTGTCTGCCCCCTGTCTGTGGCTGTAAGATTCTCTTAACTTTTGCGGCACGTTCGCGAAACTTTCGCGGGTCTTTCGTGAAATTTGATTGGCGATTTCCCCGGGAAGGCGTAACATTTGCAAACATCTGCGCAGCCCGTCAGAGCAGCTGCAGGTCATTGCCTGACTGTCAGGGCTGTGCTTGCTCAGGTTGCTAGTCTGTGACAGTGGGAACAGGAATCGGAGACTCCTTTACGCACCGAGGGTTTTGCAAGGAAATGTTGAGGCTTCAGTTTGTTAGTCTGTGACAGTGGGAACATGCGGGGACACTTCTGCCCACCCCCGCTGGAGAATTGCCTTGTATTTCTACCATTTGTCGGTCGGTAGAAAGGAAAACACATGAAAGTAAAGACCTTCGATATATCTTTCGTGGAAAAACATACTTTCGCGAATCTCATCGCGAATCTTTCGCGGATGGTTTTAACAGCATCTGAAAAGCTGTTTTGTAAAAAACTCCTTACACGGGGTTTTGGTCAACCCCCATTTGGAAAACCATTGAAATTTTGAACCATTTACTTGAGGGTTTCTTGAGAGTGCCAGAGAATTTGAGGAGCATGTGCTTGAAGACGCATTAAAATGCGAAGCATATACCTGAGTGCACCGTAGCAATCGTGGTGCAATTGCTTGAAGGTTTACTTGACAGTGGAGCGTCTACTGATGGATTTACTGCGAGGAAGATTTCAAGGAAATCTTGGAAGCCATCCCGGTCACTGCGTTTCTCCCGCTATTTGGTATTCTATTATTCTATCTTTGGCTTTTTGAGCGGGAGGTGGAGAACATGCCACCAGGCGGTTCTTGGCTGCAGATGAAGGAGCAAGAGAACACTGCAACTTTCGGTGTTGAGTTGTGGACTTTGTTCAACTACTTTTCGAGGTCTAGTCCCTGCAAGCTTTCTGGAGCTTTCACGTTTTTATGCGACTGCTCTATCAGGAAAACCTATGCAGACTCGGTCGTTTGAGGATCTGCCCGGGTCTTGGGTGGAAAGTCCTGCAACTACGTGGGCTCTTTCTTTAGACCTTGTGTATGCATTCATGAATGGGAGTTCTACTATACCTCTGGCATTGAACAGGATGCTACTTGGGGTGGTGGATGTTCTGCAATGCAACCTCATGGTCTATTCTTTCCTTAGAAGAGGACAACACTGCAACCTCTGGTTTATGGGTCCCCCGTTTGAACTTTCTGAAGGAGATGCCGTCTCCTTGATGCAGCAAGTGGGAGCTCTTCCCGAACCTTTGTGGGGTTTCCGTCGCTTGAGAGGCACCCTGGCAGACGACCAGGGTTTGGTAGACTATGTGGACTATGTGGGCCGATGGTATGTGAGGGAAGTCGCGGTTTGGTGTTTGCCTGATGTCCACATTCAGGACCTCTCTGTTACTTTGCTCAAGCCGAGTACGGGGCATTTGGCGGAGCAACTGTAGGAGGTTTGGCGAGGCCATGATGGTGTTGGTGACGCAGCTCTCTTTGCGTTTTTTTTCTCGAGATCCGATATTCGATATTTCTGCGCGGCGCCGGTGACCATTGTCACGTTCCATCTCAAATCTTTACTGCTCTATTAGCTGTGAATCGTCCGTGGAAGCTGCCGGATAGTCATGTCTGGCCACATGTTCCGTCACCAACACTTTCCTTTGCGTCTGAAGGGAGACCAACACCTGATGTGGACCTTCAGGCAACCATCCGCAATACTGACGCCAACAGAGGCATCTGGATCCGCCATGGCTGAGTGAAGCTGAAGCGAACAAAAAGGATCATTATAGAGATGTGCCTTGAGCGCACTAAAAATAGCTGCGTGCGACGCATTTGATGTGAAACATCAAATCGGTGCAACCTACTTGCGATGGTACTTAGCCTACTTAGCTTATCTAATTTTTTGGAAGTGTAAACGCGTGTGTTTTTTAAATATAGTATCATGTGACATTTGATAGCTCTCCATATGCGTTGGCAATAATTAGGCTCAAGGTAACCTTGCCATACAGGCGTCGTTGCTATCAAGTTGCGCAGATTCCATCCTAGTGTTGACGCAAGCACACAGGCGTGTGCGCAGATTCTACCAAAATCCATGAGAATTCTTACGCCCGCGGATGTCCGAGGAACAATGCTATAGACCTGAAGCGTGCCCGCGTTGTCCACGGAGTGGAAGATGACGAAGAAAATTGGTTGAATTCATGTTTGTTCTTTTGTTTGGCCTATCTTTGTTTTCCGCACATGTTTGGCTCTAAAATGCTATAAATATGTGGCTCATGCAGTGGCATGTAGTGATGACCAAAATGCATGGCTCATGCCATGAAAAGGGTATTCCGCGCATTGTTTTTAGAGATTCTGTTTCAAAAACACAATTCTACAAGTGCTTCTAAACGAGTGTGGTAAGTACATCTATAAGTAACTTGTGAAGTCTTGCAAGTACAAATCAAACCGAAGCAAGTCCTTCATGTGCCCCTGCAGGCAAAAATGCCTCTGGGTTGAAAAGATCGCGTCCGGCCACTTCAAGTGTGACTGTAGGCGTGACAAATGGGCTTAGCTACAGGGTATGATGACCATCTCATGCATGGCAACACGCCCGATCACAATTTAGGAGGCTACTTTGTGTGGACGTGTGCTACAGAAAGACACCCCCTGTCCGGAATCTTACACTCTCTGGATGGCCTCTTGGTTGTTGTAAATCGCTACGTCTCAATGATTGAACTCGTCCAATTTTGCAACGTTTTGGCTGGGCTTGGCTGTTTGCCCGGGCTCTTGTTGCACCCACTTGCGGTTTTGTAAATTTTCATATTTACGAAAACGAGGTTCTTCCCATATTGCATTTTCATCTGGAAACTTCCGATGTGCGCCCTGAACAATCTTTTCTCGAAGCGCTTCCACTTTACCCACGTGATTTGTGGGGAAGTCCGCCACCATCTCCATCTTGTGGTCTTCCTGTCCAGGATGGGCTTTCATCCACTGGTTCTACTCCTGTTGACAGTGAACTGATCAATGGCCGGGAAATACCCGGCTCCAGTCTCCTAACAACGACAACATATGTCTTTGCGTCGCAAAGCTGAAGCGCCTCTCGAGCAGCCTTAGTGAAACGAAGTGGCCCTTTTAGTACTCGAAAACTGATACCTTGCTCCAACTCACCCGCAGAATCAACACGCAATATATTCGCTGCCCCAGGTACCCAGTCTTAGGGATCTCCACTGGATGCCGGTTTCATCAAGGTTGGATTCAAAGAACGTCAATCGCAAAGCCGGAGTCCTACAGTATTTTTCTCGAATACAATGCAACCTTTTCTATTCTTCACTGCTTTGCCAAATGCATGAATCTGTAAAGTTGGCATCGTTTGACATTGATTTGATTGGGCATGTACAAAGAAAACACGTGTGAAACCTTTGATCTCCTCGATGTACGTAGCAACAGCACCAAACGTGGTTTCTTCTTGACCTGAAGGGAGTGGAAATGACAAAATTTGAGCAACTTGATCTTTCTTTACATGACAACACATGGCAATCTGGCAAACGCTTAAGACATACCGTGAGTGGCTACTTAACTTTGGCCCGCCTACTATGCACAGGCGGTATCGCCTCGGCGCCCCAGCTTGCCAAAAGGTGGCTATTTCTTATGCTCTTTTGCTTCCTTTAGACTCTTCTTTGATCGTTTCTCTGGGCCATCAACCCTGACTTTGTACAGGCTAAGTTGAAGTTAGCGGAACATGCGTCAGCCTTAGATCAAGCACTCAGGAATAGCGACAGGAAAACCCCACCTGCACACCACCAACACTAGAAATACTTTAACTAAAACCCACCAGAAAGAAATTCAGTATAAAATCTTTAAGTGCCCACCAAAGAACACAGTCTCCAATGCGGCTCAAAGGCGTTGAATCAACCTGTCATGGACGACCAGGCACAATTCTTGTCGTTTCAACGTTTAGATAGTTGATTCAAGATAGTCTTGGAACATTTAGAGACAAGTCTTCGACGTCTTCCTTTTTTCGTTCTCTTGGATTATTCTTTCCATCTAAGCTTTGTCTGCTCACCATAATCGGAGGGCTCTCTGGGTCAACAAGAGCAGTGAGATTGGAGTCGTTCGAGTCATTTGTGCCATTGGTGTCGTTGACATCCTGCGGGCTCAGATGGTCATGAAGAGGGGTTATGGTGCCTTCATCTTCAAAGGGAGGAGCAAAAGAACTTGTTACTACTAGTAAGGCACTTGGAACTAGAAGGGATGCAATTTTTTCTAGTAGCTTCTTGTTACTACTAGTAGTGCTACTAGTAACAAAGAAAACAGGACACATCAAACCTCCGAAGGTCCCAGCACGAGTCTTTGCGGGAAAGCAACTATAACAGGCACACATCCAGCCATTCTTCTGGCTCTCTTGTTGCTTTCACGCTCCTATTCTATTCATATGCATCCTATTCCATGCACAATCGTTCTCAACGAAATCTCGAAACTCGAAGCGAAAAGAAGGAACTCTCCGTGGAACCTCACTGACATCCAGTCGAATTCCAGTCCGGCAGTCCGGCCTTTAGGTGAACATGTGAGTCGTAGCAGGTGGACGACTTGGGCCTCTTGAATAAGGCCCCTTTTTAACCAAGAGGCCCAAGTCGTCCACCTGCGGTTTTTCTTATCTTTTGAAGCTTTAATGCTGCGACAGCCCTTGTTTCCGATCCTCCATAAAACTGCACTGAGTTGGAGCTGGAGGCACATGGCAATCTGGAGCCAAATAGGAGTGACCCAAGAAGTCGCAGCCTGAGATATCAAACGAGAAGGCTCAATGAAGAATGGTAAATTCAGACAAAACACGGAAGGCAAGGGCTTGTTTAATAAGGTGTGCTCTGCAAGGAGCCTTTTGCAACATTCCCTTACCTTCTTTTTTTATCTCTTGTTTTAAGGCTTCCTTGTTCAAAGTTCGATGGCCGTCATGGCCAAAAAACGCACTGACAGGGTGAATTTCTGAATAATGACGGCAAGAAGCCAAGCGCTCCGAACCATACTGCACTCAGGCCAATGCATCTACATCATCTACTTTACTCTGTGCTTTACTCACTTCTCTTGCAGCATCCACGCCTCCTCTTTGACAAAGAATAGTCACGGAGGAGTTGCCAGCAAAGACCACCGTTGGTGTTACAGCAGTCACGGGGCTGATGAAAACGCGGACACCTTCAATGTTTGCCAATCTGGAAATCCCAAAATCACATTTGCATTCTCAACTTTCTAGCTGTGTTTCTTCTACTTCCAACAGAACTGCTCCAACAAAAGGTTTATGTGCACTCGACCACATCTTAAACACATACCAAGCACCACACACATGAAGTTTCCCTAAATATCTTGGAACCAAATCATTAAGCCTGAGCCTTTCTGCATCCTAACTAGTAGCTTCTACTACTTAAGTGAGCCTACTACCTCTTTCCGGCCGACCCCCGCCGCGCCCCCCCCGCCTGTGTCGCCGAGTAAGTAGTCCTGCTTCTCTCCACCATCCAGGTCCATGCAAAGTCTTGCGCGGAGTATGATTTCCATGGCAAAACAATCCCCCAATCCAAAACGTCGACTACATGGAGCACGACCTCTGAGTACATTGACTAAGTTGACATCCGATGACATCAGTATAAAACTATACTTAATCAGTACGCAGCACACGAACCGAGTGAGTATGAATTGAACTCCGCCTTCTATATATGTCATGACTTGAATCACACGTGTATTTTGTTGAAAGTGCAAAACACATAACAAGATAAGACTGCGCAAGCTGTGCCACTGCTGTGCCGCTGTGCCTGTATCGAAGGCCACCTTGTAAGGTCTCCGTAGAAACTCCCAGTGTCCAATTTCCGTCGAAAGAGAATCGAGTGGACCTGACACTCTTGAACAAAATACGTTTTGTTCAGGATCTTGTTTGCCTCGTGGGCATCGAACTCAGTCTTTGATTTAGTCGTTTCTTCACGCCGTCCTTCGAAGGCTTGAAATAAACATGTGCTCCGCTCCTGGTGAATGAACTAAAGTTTGCATCTTGCATCTGGATGGCGTCGGCCCTCAGCTGTGTGAGGACAGAGGGAATCTCAACAAAATGACTGAGGAACATGCAGAGCATCTGATGTATCCGATACCTGAGAGCAAAAACAGCTTGTACACTCTGGCTGTGTCAACAACATTGATGAGAATAGTAAACATGATTCTGCAACACTTTGCCTCACTCTCATTGCCCGCAAATTGCTTCAATGCGAGTGCTGCTGCGTAGCAATCCTGCAGAAGTTGAATTTGGCAGGGAAACAGATTTTCCTGCCATAGCTTTCGCATTGTCGACTTGTCTTCAACTGCTTTCAGACCGCAAAGGCCTGTTGTGAGTGAGTGATTTCTATTCATGAGTTCTACTGTATCTTTTGGAATAAATCACTCTATTGACTTATTATTGTTTGTGTCTAGCTATGGGTGCGCCACTCTTAACAGGCTTTGGTTCACAAACGCAACCCCCAAAAAGCTTTCCAGACTGATCCAATGATCCTAAGTACGCTTGGTTCAAACCGGTTCAATCATGTTTTTGTTGCTTCTTCTGCTAGTCCCGTCCTGTCTGATCCTGTGCATGTACACTTCCACATCCATCTTTGCAAGGCACTTTAGGAGCTACACACGTTCTGTTTCCAGAGTTCCTGTTTGACTAAAGGTGTTGACATATTCGTACGACACCCTCTACAAAAGAATACAACACTTTTTCCACAAGGCTTCCCTCCGAGTTCGTTTGAGTTCGCTTGCCCATGTTCTCCTTATACAGGTCTCCTTCTTTTTGCAAGTTCTTTATATTGAAAACAAGTCTGTCGCCTGCATCTACTTCGAGCTCTTTGTCGACATTTTATTGTTCAAAGGGCGATGGCATGTTGTTTCATCCAAAATTCTTCTCAACAGGTGATATCTCCTTTTGGAACCCAGGTAGACTTATTTTCTGTAGCCTCACCCTTCATGTTGTCAACATCTCTTGCTTTTGTCAGCCTTTTTAATATTTATGAGATCTCGTCAGACTACAAAAAACACATTCATGATGGAAGAATATCCTTCCTTCATCATTAGTCAACCTTTTGAAAAGCCCCCCCTGTAACCTGTATCTTCCGAGCAAACACCTGGAGGTTCCTGTCCGCGCCACCGTGGTTCGCAGTTGGCCCCAGTTCTGAGTTTGGTTTCCAGAAGATTGCTTTCAATTGAGTAGACCTTTCTCTTGGCGACAAACTCACTGACTCACTGACGTTTCAGTACTGTTTCCTTAAGTCTGTATGCACTGTGAAATTGTTCCGATGCCTTGAAGTCTGAGAGGAACAATTGCCCGCAATTACACACCCACGATCAATTTTGAGCATTGGTCATTGGCTTGCTGCATTTGATTCGTGCATGGACCCACTGGTTTGTACCAGTGCTTTGAATGCCTGTGAGGCCTGTGAGGTACAAATTTCATTCAAAGAACTTTGCAGAAACAAGGCCTTTTCGCTCGTAAACCTGTAAACTCCTTAATGGAATCTGCATCTTACCTTATCCAGAAGCAGGATTCCCTGACAAGTCTCCTCTTGAAGGGAAATGCTTGCAAAACTGTATGCTTAGAAGCTCCTATATTGTCGAATTCGGCCTCACTGCATGAAGAATACATCCTTGTCCTTTACGCGCATTAATCACATCCTCTTCTTCGTAAAGGCCCTCTGCTCTTGAACATATTCGTTTCAGAACGGCCCGCCTCACCCACACTGAACAACTGCAAGAACATATATAGAGTCACATACACACAACATCATACAAAGAAAACAAACTGTTTACTTCATTATATATACCTCGAACCCATACACGGTCATATATAGCTTATATTAAACATGTTTATGTGATAATTACTATGCTTAACTTTTAATTCCTCTAATTCAATTAGTAAGAATGCTCCTAGTATCAGGAGCCCCGTTCGTAGCGCCCTTGGGGGCTTCCTTGAAGAACCCCGAGCTAAGAACGTAGCTCCGTAGTAGCTAAGAAGTAACTTCAAATTGTTTGAACGACTGTTTTTCCAGCTACTAGATTATACTAGATTACTATAGATTACTAGATACTGCTTTTCCAACCTTTCACGTCCCAACTTGTCCAGAGCAAGGAAGCCCTCCGACATGTCGGAGCAGTCTGAGCAGTTGAAGCGAAGCACAGTATAGGCTGCAGACTTCTGGAACTCAACCTCCGGCTTTTTGAACCGGTTTTGTGCACGGCTTTTGGCGTTTAGAGTTCTCAAACACTTTCTCTGCTCGAACTGGACCAAACTTCATGAACGCCAAGATTGAGATTGTATCGCCTCCTTCACGGGGCTGAGGTAGACCTGGCTCAAAATGAAAGGTAATTGACCTCGCTCTCAGAGATTGGTGCCTGATGAAGCGAATCACCGGTCTTCAAAGCCCAGTCCACGCCATCGAGGTCAATGCAAAAGCTGGCGTCAAGATTTACTGCAAAGAACTACTTTCCATTTTGCAATCTGCTTTAGACATGTAAAAAAGTAGTTAATACATTTCCAAAGAAATCGTTTGTACATTTTAAGTGACTCATTATCCTTCAATTCTATGGTCCTGTGACGCCTGTTCTTGTATTAAGCAACTCCATAGAGGTTTGGTTCCACGACACCCCTTCCATATTGAACTTCCCTTTTCAGCAGTTTTTCTTGTCACACCGTCCCTTTTTGCGACCCCATCCGTATCCTGTCCATTCTCTACCAAGGCCTCCTTTACCCAGTTCAGCTCCTACTTTAAAGACGTTTGGACAACTTTCCACCCCGCACCACTGGAACCCAAAACGCACGCAGAATCCAATGAACGGCTTGCCTATTTGGCGGGTGAAAGAGATAGGTTCCGCACTTGGCTCTTGCAATGTGGTGGTCAAGATGAGGTTCAAGCTGAAGGAATGAAGGGAAGAACATAAGGACAGAAAGGTGGAACATGTTTAAGTTCCCTATAGATCAATCATGCAAAAGAAAAACTGGCTAGTAGCCACTAAACGTTAGATACTAAAGGTGTTAGCTACATATTAGCAGCCTATCTCCAAGAGAAATAACAAACAACAAGATGGTGATGTAAAACAAAGAAAGGACCCTCATGCTTCCATGGTCACGGGGTGCTTTCAAAGGGCCATTATTTCTTTTGTATTTTCGGCTTTAGTTCGCGTGAAACATTGAGTTTCTGGGAGCCGATTCTGAGAGACTGGGACACAACATGAACCAGAAATTCAGCAGCCAGCAGTGTAATTAATTGAAGAAAGCCGGGTCATTGCTTCGATCTTCCATTCGAAGGGCAAAAAGGAAACAAAAGACATGCGACCCAGAAATGCCTGTAGTGCCGGCCCGCTGGCAAACCATCGGTTCGCAAATGAACTGAGAAGACCTCCGTCCCATTGCCAGCCTGGCAAGCACGTCTTGGCTTTGCATATCTTTCGATGTTTGCTGATCTGATGTTTTGACGGTTGTGACAATTGCTGCAAAAGAGCAAAGAACATAGAAACACAAAAGTGTTTGAGCTCCTTGAATGTCCTATTAAAGACCTTAGGCCCAAACACCTTCTTATTTTCAGTTCTTTTTCTGTTTCATATGTTATTTGCCTTTAACTTTTGCCACATGTCTGTCGGATGGCCTCGGAAGAGCTATCTGGAATCAACAAGCTGGACGACGTCATCTCTCCCAGGACCTGAGGCACAAAGCCAAGAGCCAAACAATTTTTCTTATGTGAAGTCTAAGTCTATCGGCATTTGCTGACTTACACATAATTAAATTACTTAGACATACTTAGACATGTTCATTTTAAGCTACTCTTGGTATATATCTACTTCCTTCCCTCCATCTCTCTCTTGTTCTTCTGTTCTTCTTTTCAGGCTCATCCATCTCCGACCTCGATGGTCGATGCATCTGGGTCGTTGATGTCACACGTCTTGGCCAAATAGGCCTGCGACCTTTCAGAACCTCGAATTCGCTTCATTGAAATACAAGAGATAAGGTCAAAACACATCGCACACACAATTATTCGTATTGGTCTTTCATCGCTTCTTTACACTCATCGTACTTATCTTTCTTTCCCCACGTCAAGCTGCTGTTTTGGCATCCCAAAAGGAAACTCTTCAGCAAAACTTTTGTGGCCGCACAAAGACTCAGGCTCTGACAGCCTCCACCAAGACTGCACGCAAAGGTTATGACTTCGTCCACGCCCTTGAAAGGGACAAGGCCGGTGGCATCTGAACACACGTATGGAAACACCTCTTTCGCGTGGTAGAGACAACTACGCCAGCCCAAAAACAAAACCTTCACAAACAACGTATTTGACTCAGGATATTTGAGGGACGGGTAGGAATGTATATGCCTCTCTGCTTTTCAGTGCACTGCAGGACGTGAATCAGCTTTGTGCGTGCAAGTTTTTTCCAGATGTTTGTTGTGTCTTTTTTGAACTCTCACATGGAAGCGATCTTCAAAAGGTGTCAGCCTCTTTGCCTCCATGTTAAAATTTTCACTTTTGACTGAACAAACACATTTCCACAGAACAACTGGTGATGTGTTTGATGATAGCGATTGAACAAATCTGTATATAGTTTGATTCATCAAGCCTGTGGTACACCCTGGGTGAGGAGCTCCTGGATCCCAGAAGTGAAAACACCTGTTTGGACCAAGCAGAAGTGACGCACAAAGCATTGACAAACTTTATTCATCGCTCTTCGGCTTTCAGTGTTGCACCTTGTGCATCTCCAACGGGCATTGGTCCACTTCCGTCCACATCCAAACCTTGAGAGGATACGAATAGCCAATATCATCATATATCCTGTCTAACATTTTTTCAACCGAATTCTTGATCCCCCAATTAAGTTGCTCGCAACTAGGGGGGGTTTGCGCCAAGAACAAAATAATTAGGGTCAATGGCCAGAGTTATCCAGAGTTCAGGCTTGTCGCTGGGCCTTTTGTCATGGCAAGGCTAGCAAACCTTGGTGTCAAGTGGCAGGTGCAGTGCTTGGGTTGTCCTTCTTAATCGCAATGGTGTTGCGCTCTCGTTGTGCATGGTGGTGAATTTGGTTGCAGCAGGCGTTTTGGCGGCCGTCTGGCATGCTGAGGCGTGGTGAATAGTGAGCTTTGGAGTTTTCGTTGGGAGAATTATCGAAAACTGCAAAAGCGGACCTTCTCCTTGAGCATTCACGGCCTAGCGGAGTATACAGTGAAACTTGAGTGTGATTCAAAAGTCTAAGTACTCCTCCTTTGGTGGCTCAGCTGACGCTGCCCGTCTCCTTTTTCACACGCTGTATAAAAAATAACCACCTTTTGTAGCTCTGCGTGCATTCTCTTGCCTGCCATGAAGCTCTGGATCTCAACGCGTCCATTTTCTTATCAACATATATCGGTCCATCCGTTGCTCCTCCTTCTCCAGTCGCAATCACTGCTGCTGCATCTGTCATATCGACATCACGATCTGGACTTTCAGGTCTTTTAACTTAAAGTTCCTGTTCATCTTGCGGTTCAATTGGTGGAAGAGCTGTGAGCACCTCTCATCCATTGTTCTCGGCGCCAGTTCGCATTTAAATATTCCACTGGAATCTCAACTTCTCTTCCATCATCCAGTAGAACTGTAGCTGTCATGCCACTCAAATTCTCTTCATTTCCTTCTTCCCTCGGGCTTGATGCCACTGCGCCACTTCCTCTTGTCGAAGGTGGTGGAGTATCAGCTCTGTTTCATCTCCTCCCCTTCTCTGTGTGATCGACGTCCCGTCTTCTCGCATTTGCTTCACGTACCATGAGTCTATCTGCCATCTTCTCTTGTCCCCACTTTTGATTGCCCTTCTCAAGACACTTCATGCATCTCTCCTCAGTCTGAAGTCAACTCTTCTTGTTCCACAAAACCGTCTTCACTATTTCTCTGTGAAAGCGTTGGCAATAGTCATCTCTAATAGAATCACTAGACGACGGGTGGCCCGAGAGCGAGACATGTGATTGTCCAGTACAGTGGAAAAGACATCGATAAAGAAAGAAAGAAAGGATGGACGTGAAGGAGTGACTGTGTGGATGTGCAGGTGTCATATAGATGTGTAGATGTATGGAGGTGGAGAGGTAGATGTATGGATGCGAGCGTGCGAAGACGTAAATGGACAGAGGCGAGAGAAAAGATATATCTTAGGCTCGTCAGAAGTCAGTCGCTCTTCAAACGGCTGAAGACAAGTCAGTCTCATTTCAAGACAAAAACGAAGTCAACCGTCAGCAGGTCGAAGCGCACACAAAATGGAGTTGTGTGCGCTTCATCCTGGTCCCAAAAACAAGCGGCGAGTAGAGATCCTGCGGGCAGAGGCTCAAGGCAAATCAAATTGACTTCAAGTATCAGACACAGAGAGAGCACGCAGTAAGTATGCTTCCAGTCATCATCTCCACTCTCGCGCATAGGCCCTTCTTCCTTCAACGCACTCTCGTCTGCATTTCGCGCCCTCGACACGCACCAGCTTCTCAGAGGATTGCCCTGGACCGGGCCAAAACCACATCGCACTTATGAATAAGCAAAGAAGCTAAAATTTGTCAACCTCTCCAGAGAGCCGGGTGGTCGGGACACATGGCTCAGCTGCAGGGGCGCCAGAGCAGCCGCGAGAGATGACTCAGCGAGAGATGAATTATCCGCGCACTCAAGTTGTACTACAAAGTCGTCAGTTCTCAGCTTCCAGTCCCACCGCTTGCTCCGCGTACTAAAGTTGTTCTACAACGTCGCCAGTTCTCATCTTCCAGCTCCCCAGATACTCCGCGCACTAAAGTTGTACTAGAAAGTCGCCAGTTCTCATCTTCCAGCTCCCCAGAGACTCCACGTACTGAAGTTGTACTGGACAATCACGGGTTCTCATCTTCCAGCTCGCCAGATACTCCGCGTACTAAAGTTGCACTACAAAGTCGCCAGTTCTCAGCTTCCAGCTCCACAGATTGCTCCGCGTACTAAAGTTGTACTACAAAGTCCCCAGTTCTCATCTTCCAGCTCCCCAGATACTCCGCGTGCTAAAGTTCTACTAGAAAGTCAAATACTCCGCGTACTAAAGTTGTACTAGAAAGTCGCCAGTTCTCATCTTTTAGCTCCCCAATCGCACTCTCGCCTGCATTTCGCGCACTCGACGCGCACGATCTCCGCAGAGGGTTGCGCCGGACCGGGTCAAATCGCACTCTCGCCTGCATTTCGCGCACTCGACACGCACGATCTCCGCAGAGGGTTGCGCCGGACCGGGTCAAATCGCACTCTCGCCTGCGTTTCGCGCATCCGACACGCACGATCTCCGCAGAGGGTTGCCTGCGGCAAAGACAAATCGCACTCTCGCCTGCATTTCGTGCGCTCGACACGCGCGATCTCCGCAGAGGGTTGCGTTTCGCGGCGGTCCGGCGGCGCTGCCCCCGGCCTTAAGAGAGAAAGTTAAGAAGAGCGAGAGGTGAAGATGTGAGCTGTAGATGTGAGGATGTGAAGATGAGCAGAGATGATGTGAGGATGTGAAGATGAGCAGGGATGAACAGAGATGATGTGAGGATGTGAAGATGAGCAGAGATGATGCGCAGATGTGAAGATGAGCAGAGATGTAGATGCGCAGATGTGAAGATGAGCAGAGATATAGGTGTGAATGTGGATGTGCACAGGTGAAGATGTGAAGATGTTTTTTTACGAAGAACCCTTCGCAGACGCTCTCGGGAAAAAGGCCCTTGATTGACCACATAGGACTTGAACTCGAGTCTGGCTTCCTCAGTTTCTTCCTTTGCTGACTTCAATCCTAAGACCTGAAACCTCAAAGCTGGTTCGTTTTCTTCCATCCTCTTCTCTAGCTTCTTGTATGGCTTCCTAATCAGGAACACACCAAATAGAACTACTGCTGTTGCACAAAGGATCACCCAGAACCATGTCCTTGATAAGCTCTCCTTCTGCAATGTCACTTCAGTTCTTTCCGCCTGCGCCACTGACCCAAGGCCGCTTGCAAACATAATCTTCTCAGGTGCTGTTGCTAGTCTTTGGACGTTGCCTCGTTGCATTTCTCTCTCCTCAACTCCTTGTCTTTCCTTCTCACCGACTCCGTTGCCATCCCCATCGATTGCATGGCATTTGCGCAGTAAGAACTTCAAACTTTGTTGACTAAGCAGTTGGGTTCCAATGTCTGACACATTGCGAGTTGTTCCAATCTGCTTGACTTCAAGTTCCTTTGAAGAAATCATCTCTTGACACCATAGAAGTTTTCCTCTGACGCGCCTCGGCTTTCCATTACCTCTCGCGCATGATCTGTCTTGTTGCTGAGTTTGCCATCAAGCAAACATGTTGGACTTCTTCGTCTGTCAGAAACTTGAGACATTGCCGAATGAATACTCCATCACGCGCACCTCCAACTAATGCCTGTAATTCACTTTCAGCACGGCTCACACTGACTACTTTCTGTCCTCTCGATGTTGCAAAAACAACACACCCGTTCACCACACGTACAGATGAAGGTGTAGATTTCCGATGTCCTTTGGTCCGCTTCAATCTGCATCAGTGAATGTCTCTAGCAACCATTTCTGAGTTGATAGTATGCACATACCACGACCTCCTGTTCGAAATGGATCCTTCACGTGTTGGCCTTTTGTTGACTTAAGATAGCCAATCAGCTTCTTCATCCTGCGCATACTCAACGCTGTTGGCGTTGACATAGAGGAGGCAAGCTCTTTGATCGTGAAGCTCAAATCCAACCTTTCCTGTGACAAGCAAATGCCGCTACCCACTAGAGATCGGTATAGCGCTACTTCTTCTGAGCTTAGCTCTTCAGATCCACCTGCCTCTTGAATCTCTGGTCCTGAAGGCACTTTCTGCTTCTTGGCTTGGCCATAGAAATCTTCAAAGTTCTTGATCACGTCACTGGCATATCGTCCTGGCGTCATGTATAAGCCGCCATTCCCAAGCTTGCAGATTCTCTTCAGAATTGGAACTCATCTCCTGGTGATTTCATTTGGCTCACTGAGATCTCAAACTTTCCTCTCAATTGTCCAATGAAGTTCTGAACTGCCTCCTCCTGCCCGTAATGCAGGATGTCGTCAGCATGAAACAACACAAAGACTTGATCTGCCTTTCTCCCGAGACATGCGTTCTCTTTGCAGAATTCAAATCCAATGCTCTCCAGAAACTCAACTAAATGGTTGAACCACGCTTGAGCTCCCTGTCGTTGACCTGGCAATTCTTCAACTCGCAAACCTGCAATTGATTCTTCTGATCCACTTGTAGGAAGGCGTATGATATCCAAGCTTCCCATCACAGATGTTTTCTAGCAGAACCCTGACCCTCTGTCCATCAAAATCACCAGTGGTAAAAGTCGAAGTGCGTGGGCGCTTGTAACAGCCGAATGTATGTCACCCCCTTTCGTGTTGGCAAACTCTCTTGCCACAAGACGTCCTCTTCGAAGCCACTGCTTCTAGAAGTTCTGTTCATTGGCTATACCTCAAGAGCATAGAAGTTCTGTTCATTGACTACTTCATCCAAGTGGTGCATCTCAATGTTTTGACATTGTACTTTGTCTAATCGCTCTTGAATCACCTGAATCCGCAAAGAACTTGACGGCCTTTCTCCTGTTCCACCTCTCTTCCACTCTTCGGAGCTGGTTCTGACACGACTGCACCTTCTGGTGGTGGTGTTTTCCTCAAAACTCTTTCCCATGGAAGCTCTTCAAAGATCACATCTTCAAGCTTCTCCATAGGTGTATCTTCCGGTGCAATCTCTGGCGTTCCTGGTTGTCAGCATGAACAGGAGCTGCTGGCCTGCAGTCTCTTGAAGTTCTTTCATCTCTTCTGCTCTACCTTGATAGGACCCGGCATATTTCTCAACTTTGGCTTCCAAAGGTGGCATTGGCCCATTCCTCAATGCTTGGGCTCCGACTGCCCTCTTCGTAGGCACGGTCTGAAATTCCCACGATGCTGAGGAAAATCACATGTACTAAGCAAGAATCTATATCCACTCTTCTCACACGTCTAGTACGCATGATCCTTTCACCATCTGACACAATCCAAACAGCTTGTCCATCGGTCCTGCCCAAGAAGATTGTCATCTTCCACTTTGGATCTCCTTTCGGCGGGCTTAGAGCTTGTGACCTCACAAAGGCATAGACTGGACACCCAAAAGGTACGATGCTTCCCGTGTATTGCTTTCCATGAACCAGTTCAATAGCTGTCACTCTATGATAAGCTTGGTGTCTGTTCATAATCCAGCAAGCGTGCTTCGCTGCCCATGACCACAATGGGTGATTGCTATTCAGCCTCACTTTCCATGATGGTACATGTCAATCCTCACACCCGTCGCGCTGCGTTCTCCGCCAGCGAGTTTCCAGCACCATCGCGAATACGGGAGGTGAGGATTCTTGTCCTCAATCCAAGCGCATGTCTGCTGAACAGAACCCTCAAAATTGATCTGATGGTTGGTTCATTGTCTCCATAGAAAGCTACTTCGTGGTGACCAAGGTGTTGGCAACATGTCATAACTTCTTTTGCTGCAAAGTTGACCTGGGCTTTACTCTTCAATGGCGTTGCTTCCACGCTTCCCGTTTGTGAACATGTCATGATCATCGACATTTTTGACTTTACTTCCTTCAATCCCCTTTCTCCCAGCACGTTCGCCTCTTTCCTCTGCTCTCTTCTATCCATAAGGCCTGCCTTGCATGTGAAGGGAAGATCGAGACTGATGACCGGGATGCCTGACAGCCTGACATTCTCGCTGCTCCAGTTTGAAGACGCCTATCCTGTCTTGCTCTACGCAGTGTTTCCCTTGTTCTTCTTCTGTGGGAACTGAGACAATGGCTTGCCCTCGTGCCTCTCTCGACAATTCTCTTTTCTTTCAAATGACTCATGATTCTCTGAAAGCATGACAATTTGCTCCCAGACTGTGAAATTCCGAAAAACTTGCAAGCTGCTCGAAGTTCACGAAGTGGGCCATCCTTTGTCAAAGTGATGCCATTCGCCTCGCCTTATCAGCGTCTGGACTTCCCAGCGCCAATCTACCCACCTGAATCGTAGGGTCTTCCTCATGCGTTTGTTGACGTTCAATCTCCTCCTGTGCATGTTCCTCTTCGCGCTCTGCAACTGGAATTCTGAATTCTGGAACCCTTCACGTGATTGCTCTCTCTGTCTCAATGGCTCCAAAACTTCAAAGCCAAGGTCTTCTGGTCCACGCTCACCTGCTGACAAGGTTGTCAACACTAAGGCTCTCTCCCTCAAGCCTTCTATCTTCTCCTCTTGCTCCATCATCAGGTTGAGGGGCATCGCCATCTCAACCAACTTCCACTTGCCGTGCTCCTTCGTGAAGGTAGTCCTGTCCCAAACCATTTCCTGACCAATACCACTCACCCCAAGAAGTGTCTGAGGACACGTGGATAAGGCAATCCCAATCCACTTGCTTCCATACTTCTTCCACCTTGCCTGTGACTTCACCATCTCCTCAAGCTCGTTTCCAAGCTTCACTTCTATTAGAATCTAGGGCTCTCGCGAAACATGGTAATGCTTCCACTTTGCGAATCTTCGCCTGAACAATCAGACTCTTGCGCTGCGTCTATAAGGGAACCTTAACTTGCGACCCAAAGTGAAGAGCTTCTCCTGGCCATCTATCCCCCATCCAGCCACCAATCTTCCGAACGACAAGATAGGTTGCCGAACTTCGTCTGCAAAGTGGAGGCATTCGTGCGCCTGTACTTCATGGCCTTCTTCTGTTTGCATGATGGAGCGCACATCTCTCAACCCTTTCACTTCAATCTTCGCGCCTTGAGCGTCATGAAGATGATGTGGATTCTCCTGAGATGGTTGTGAGCATTTCGCTTGGCCAGACTGTGGCATCTGCACCAGAATCCAAAACTACTGGAAACCAATGCTCCTCACTCCGTAGGTAACCTTCGTCATAGCCCGTACTGCACTAACAGACAATGTCACCTCATCACTCAACTCTCTTGGCTCATCCTCCTCCATGAAGAAGAATTGGACTGCCCTGATCACGCCACTGTCTTCGTCTAAGCCCCTCAAATCAACCACGAAAGGGTCCAGCGAGGTTTGTGAAACGCTCTCCATAGAGATTTGTGAAACTCTCTTGGCGCTGGCTCGATTGGCATTCGCGTCGTCCTGTGCTGCATTGCTGGTTCCACCTCCAGTGGATGGTGTAGAGGACTGTGGATTCTCAGCTACCTGCCGGACTCTCCAGCAATCCTTTGCCACATGGCCTGGCTTGCCACGCGTGTAACATACTTTGCCTTTGCCTTTGCCATCTTTCCAGGAACCTTGCTTCTCCCCTTTTCCTTTGCCCCAGCCTTCTTTGTTCCAACTTTCGTGGCCTTTCTTACCTCCAGCTCCTTTCCCTTTGCCGCCTTTGTTGTCCTTTGCTTTGCCCCTTGACTTACCGTCTTTGGTCTTTCCCTGGCCTTTCTTCCGATTGTCCTGAACTCGATCGATGTCCATAGGTGCCAAACCTTTGTCATCCGAAGTCAACATCATCGCTTGGCTCCACTTCGATGTTGCCTTGTCATATTCCCTCTCTAAGTGACATAATTTGTGGATTCTGAAACCTGCAGTTGTAGCCACGTTTTGATGTTTTCTGAAAGATACTTCATCAATACAACAAATTGATCGCTGCAGCCAATGTCGCTCCAGTCCTCTCACACTCTCGAAAAACATCTTCTTGTTTCGCAAGTTGTGACAAGTGACAACATGTTCTTCTACACGTCGAATGGAGACCATCCGAGAATCGCATTGAGTATACCGAGAGATCTATTCCTGCTCACTGGCTCCAAGGAGTTCAAAAGTTGTCTGTAGGCTTCAAACCCATTGCTCTTTGAAGCTTGTCTCAATACCAGCAAGAGCAAGGGTCTAACCTTCAATAATCCCGCCAAAAGACTATACAGACATGAGCTGCGGCTGTCAACTTCTGTCGATGGGTTCTTTCTCAAAGCTTCGAAGTCTGCAACATATTCGATATCAAAGGGTGTTAAATACTGTGCCAATGACCATGCAAAATCACGCCACATCGACAAATCCTCTTCTCGACTCTTAAGATCAAAGACCCCAGGCTTGGGCAATGTTTTGTACCAGCTCTTTTCACCATGTCTTTGGCTCTTTGGCTCTGCCAAAGCTTGAGCTGCTACCGTAGCTGCCATGGATGCAGCTTCAACTGTCGCCAACATCATTCTCCTCGCCAATTCTGCTCCATCTATCTGCTGGCCAACGGCTCCACTAGGGCTTCCAGCTGGGCTCATCACTGGAGAAGCCTCCGCACCAGCCATGGCGTCGCAAACCTGAGCCTCACTCTTCCTGGATCCTTGGCTCCGCTACCATGCGAAAGCGGACCTTTTCCTTGAGCATTCACGGCCTAGCGGAGTATACAGTGGAACTTGAGTATGATTCAAAAGTCTAAGTAAAAGCTTTGTTTGGTATCTCGCTTGGGTTGCGAAAAGCCTTGGAAGGGTGTATCGTGCGAACCTCGAAGTGCATATTTTGGGCGTGCATACTGTCATGTGTGTCAGGTGCTTTTGTATGTGTGCCCTCAATTTTGTTACGTTCATCCTCTCATAGTTTCCTGTTGCTGCTGCGGACCCTTTGCTAGGATATTGGGGAAGTAGGGGTCAAGCGGGTTTTAAGGCGTATCAAGGCTCTAAGATTTTGGAAGCTACTAGAGAAGCCTCTTACTAAGAGTCCTGTCCTGTCTATGTGCAAACAATGTAACAAACTAGACGGTTCTTCAGGAGGGACGGAGCAACAAGGGGCAAAAGCTTGAGACGAAGGATCAAAGTCTAAACCTGTCCAATGATTTTAGTGAAGCTGAGCGGAAGCTGATAAAAAACGGTTAATTGTGTTCATCTTCGCATCTTTTAGGACGGCTGAGGCCCAAGCAAAGCCTAAGTTCAAGCCCTGCAGGTGCTGGGACGGCAATCTCCCATAATTCCGCTGGCGTACTGCAACAATGCCATGATGAACAGAAACAAAAGTTAAGCAAGCTGAAAGCAAGGTGTAAAGAGCATGAATACAATGTGTGACCCTCAAGGATAAACACAGACACACACACACAGTGCATTCTCAACAAATCTGAAGAATCTGGCAGGTCTGCCTATCATTGGCAAGATAGAGGATCTTTGGCCACGGATTCGCGACTTTAGTGACTGCCTGGGAATGAAAGGTTCTGAACACCCCTGGAATCCTTCCATTGGTTTTGTCTGTCTGTCTGTCTGTTTGTTTGTTTGAATTAAACATCAATCGAGCAATTCACCTTGATATTTGCGGCATGCTACCGAAGTCTACAGGTCCTCTAATGCCAAAACAAAAGTAACCCCGCACGTCACGCTTGTCTGTAGCAAAGCGGAACAAAACCGGACGGGAACGATAGTCGGGTAGATGCGGATGACGAGCGGGTGGAGTAAGGGAGGGCCAGGGAGGGTGGGAGGGGTGGAGTTGAAGACCAAGGATAGATGGGAAGGATAGATGAGAAGCAAGTGCGACGTGCGGAAATCTCTTCAACTTTTTGGTGTGGAATGGCCACACGAAAGTTGAACGACAACATGCGGGCCCGAACCAATGCTCATTTGTGAAGTCGAATCAACTTCAAATCACCAGGTCTCCAAGGAGATTTCGACGAGGAACTTGAACAGTTGTTGATCTTTCCTTGCGTGTCTGCAAAAGGGAAGGTAGTTGCACTTGTCACGGAATTGTGTTTCTCAGCACAATGTTTTTTAGCTTTACAGCCAGGGCTCCCTGTTTTCAGCAGTTGGTCTTCTAAGCACCTGAATTATACAGTGCATTGAAAGGGTTCCCATGATGGGAGTGGTTTGTTCCATTTGGGATTTGAGAATGACACATGTACCTGTATCTTTGTGACATGATCCCTGGTCGGTGAGTCAAAACAAAATGTTCTACCAAGGTTTTTTTTTCTACGATTTTCAGAGTTTACTTGGATACTTAATTACTGCAATTTTCTGCCACGCCCCCTTCCTGAGACTTACCACGTATTTATTTTTTGAGGAGTCGGAGGACTAGGAAGGAAACTGTGAGCGGCACAAAGCAAAGCACTAACATCTTCGTCAGTCTGGAGCAGTCCGGAAGCATCTACAAGAATCTGTCTCACAAACGTAAGTAACACCGTTGGAAGTACCGACAGCGAAGCACTCTGTGGGGTTTAGAAAACTCTGCTGACCCGTTTCAGGACTAAGACCTCGACTGACAAATACGCTGAGGTTGAACCAATGGCGCAGTCGCTCGAAATAAAACCCAACCTGCAGAAGAATCTTGACACACTTAGAAAGTGAAATAACGGATCCAAACAGGACCTACCGGACCTACCGGGATACAGTCTCAGAAGAGAACACAAATTATGACATAATGCTCTTGAAAACGCAGCAACACCTTTACTGCACATATAGAAAATAACAAAACTGACGGCATGACGCACTGCTGCTGCAACCGCCCGGATGACACACAATCCGGAGAACCTGAAAAACAAGTGACTAAACAGCTAAAAACTTGGTAAGGGACAAACAGAAAACGCACAACACATTTACAGCAAGCAAGGATTTGGTCTTTCAACATGTTTCCTTTTTTTTGGTCTTCAGAAGGTGCTAGTAGTAACAAGTGCCACGCTTACTAGTAGTAACAAGGTTCGCTATTAGGAACAAGTGCCCCGACCGTCACCTTGTGAAACCCGGACCAGGACAGGAGTTTGTATTTCCTTACTACTAGCGTCCTTGTTACTACTGGTAAGGCACCTGTTACTACTAGCGTGGCACTTGTTACTACTAGCTTCTTGTGTTTCCGTTCTCCATATTGTATTTCAATAGTCTCTTTTCTGTTCTCTGATCTGCCGGTTTCTCCCAAAGGCAGCTGCTTCACCCCAGAAGACTGCCACTCGTACCTAGCGAACATCACTTCGAAGGATCTTCGGGTTGAAACGACTTTGCGCTGCTTTGCGCCGCTTTGCGCACGGGTGAAATGTATATAGAAAATCCAGTTTCACCGGCCTGGGAGGACGGCTTGTTCTGATTCAACTGGTCTTATGAGGCTGAAACCAAGCTGTAAGTAAAACCTTCGATCATGTTTGGCTCATGTGACTGCAACTTCATCCTCAATGAAAAACTAGAAATCTCCCACTAAGAAAAACTTTCCCACTGCTGAGAGGAAGACAGGAAACAAGTTTCCAGCTCCGTCTGCATCCACACAAATCCTCAATTTGTTGCATTCAAAAGCGCAACATATTCTTGACCATAAAAACAGGCGAGGGACTGGTAGGTGTAGCCAGAAGGTAGCAAAGCAGTGCTCAACGTCAATCCAAAGCGATCTAACGCCAAACCTCAAGGAAAGTACCAAATTTGTGATTTGTGGCATGACAAATTGAAATTGATGTGTTTGGGGCCCAGACCGTTAAATGAAGGTAGTCGTTGCAGTTGCTGGGGTGGAGATACTGGTGTGCAGTCTCCCACAAGTGACAGAAACGCCTTGGCTGAGTGCCCCTGAGACTTGAATCCACAGATAATTTTAAACAAAGAAACGTCTTGACTCTTGACATACAGTATTTCGCTATCTTCAATCTTCAACATACTTCAGCCAGCATTGGATACACAAACCCTTTTCAGTTGGCGATACTTTTTGGTGGCACATTTATCAGAAACCTCAAACCAGCCTCCGTCTCCACACCACATCCACCGCTGCCGGGCAAACACAGCAGCACTAACTGCAGATCTCCTTGACAGGAGTGATGCAAACAAATGCAACTAATTTCTTAGTATATTCATGCATCTTAGTATCGTTGTCGCTTTGTTTTCTTGCAGGTGTTCATCCAAAATTGCTGCGCCTTGTTGTTATTCCCAAACTTGGTTTTGAGGTCGCCACTGCCAGCTGAAATTGATTCCTGCCCTGACCTTAAAAGGCGGACATCGCAACAGATCGCCAGAATCTAAAATGTGTGCGCTTTGAAGAAGTTGTGAGATTGAATTTCAGCGGACCTTTAAGACTAGATTCGAGATGCCGAACGTGATTCGCCCGTTTTTCCGAACAGAGTTGTGGTCGCGCCACGGTGAGTGAAGACCAAATCTTCGAGTTTTCAAACACGACAGAAGTCAGTCTGTCGGTAGCAGAGCTGCGATGGAAAGTCCAAGTGCGTTTCTTTAGCGTCGAGGCAAACTGTAAAGCAAGGCTGTGTCTCTATTAGGTTGATTTTTTGCAATTTGATTGGTTGGCCTGACAGGAAGAAAAACATGTTTGCAACTATTGCTACAGGGAGCAATTTTTCTCAGCTTTTGAACGACTTTTGGTCCGAGTAGTGCACCCACCAGTCAACTTCTACTGAGAACGCATTACAGTATCTGCATTTCATATCATTCCTTACTTCTGAAGGATATGGAATTGGCGACTCTTTAAGGTCCTACTCGTCAGTCCAAGAACCGAAGAAATGTTCTCCAGTTCAACCCGTTGACACTGGATGAGGGCACCTTGCTACTAGTAACAAGCGCATCGCTTTTTAGAAAATCACATGGAACTAGAAGCGAACCTTGTTACTACTAGTAAGGCACTTGTTACTAGTAGCGAGGCACTTGTAATTAGTAGCAAAGAAAACACTATTGAGTTTTTGGTGTTTTGACACTACCGGAGGATTGTGGTTCGACTGAGACACTTACTTCTACAGAGATTGACGCCTTCACCATGGAACTTATACTTTGTGTCCAATGAACGATTGTTTCCACCGCTTGATAGCTGATAAATGTTTTAAACAGTCTGTGACAAACTAGGCTTGCTGTGGAATTTCTCTGCCATTCTGTGCGCAGGTTCAATCTGTGCTTTTTGCAAATGCTCAGTGTGCAAATCGTATGTTGCTGGCCGTCAGTTTTGCGTAGGAAGTCTTGTGGATCTTGTTTGGTCTATTCGATATTTGGGAGCAGATTGTCTATTCGACTTTGAGCGACTCATTCGAGAGGGTTTGTCCAGGTGCTCCCCGACGGCACCGAAAGCACATGCTAGCTCTGCTGGATTGGCACTTTTTCGCAAAGACCAGAAGCGATATGATACTGCTCTCGCACCCTTGGAGTATTGAAATTGTTACTTGAAGCGATGCACTTGTTCCTAGTAGCTTCTTGTTACTA